TGTTCAGGAGTTGGCAGGGTGGGGCAATACTAGAGAAAATTAAGCAGTTCCCGAGGTGCTGAATGTCGTCATCTTCCAACTGGTCATAAGACTAGTAGAAAGACACTTCGAAGTTCGCCAAATTTGATACTTCTTAAGTATATTTCAATATTGTGCATATGCAAAGAAGAGTACTTGAATTGCACAGATTAATTTGATTAAAGTTGGCTAAGCTTATTGAGATGGAGTATATCTTTACAGAAAGTCATCAGCCCACATTAAACAACTCCTCTGAAGTGAAATGTAGCAAAAAATACTCCACTCCATTATCCCCAGGGAGAATATTATGGTGTTGAAGTGAATCTAGTTTGGAGTTGGCGGCTAGAAACCATCGATTTTGAGGTTTCAGCCAGATCGGAAGCTGCTCAAATTGATCTTAGAAGTTTTCAAGAAATCAGCATTGAACACTTCTCAATTTCATGTTAATTGACTGGCGGCATCGAGTCACTTGCTTGTTGAAATAAAGTGATTTTTGATATTATCAGCTATAATTATGATTAATTATTGAATATTTCCCCTAACACACCTACGACATTTTTCGTGTTCGCTTCTCATCATTTTTGTACATTTATTTTATCGATTAAGTTGCTTATACGAATTATTACAAATTAGGACATACTACGCATAGTTCTAGTTGAACTTGAAGAAGCACCGCTATAACAATGAGAACCAGTGTTCCTCTCTTTCTTCTCATTGGGTTATCAACTTGCGATTTATAAAAGATGCCATATATGATATTATTATCATGGGGTGTGCTATAGACTTACCTTAACGTGGTGCACCCTGGGCAACGTATATTCATACGGCAAAAAGTCTATTAACTGGCAGTTGACTTCTCACTTCAAACAGCCATCACCTCACTCTATGCCATATTCGACTACTTCCACACTTCTCACCTCACCTTTTTTCTACCTTTGTGTCTGTCTCTTTTGCATCTTTAAAACACTCTTCCGTCCCCCCCCCCTCTCGACTTTTTTCAATTTGATGTTCCTTCCCCTCTGTGAAGTCTGAAGTCAACTAAAGGACTAATAATAACCATCAAGACGCCTGCCATTTGATATAAATAAATATTATTATCATTTTAAATTTTATCCAATTACTTTGGATAGAATAGCTTTCTAGTGAATAGGGTTACTACGTTAATAAGCATTGATTTATACTCGGTAATCACTAAAAGCAAGTTCTCCCAGTTTGGGATTCTTCACAAAATTAGCTAAGCTACTGCAAAGCTATAGAGGAGGCAGACGTATGACATGAAATGCATTTATTTGGGCTGTGTTTCACTGACACGGAGCTGGGGCATAAGACAAGAATGAAGGGCTTTTTAAACATTATTTATTTCAAATGGCAGGCGTTTTGATAGATATCATTAGCCATTTAGTTGACTTCGGGCTTCACAGAGGGAAGGTTCGTCAGAGTAGCAGAAAGTCGAGGGGTGGGGAACAGAAGAGCGATTCACAGATGTAAAAGAGGCAGACAGATATAAAGGTAGGGAAAAAGGTAAGATGAGTACTGTGATAGGGGTCGAATATGACAACCAGGGGGGTCGTGTTAGTTTGAAGTCAGAAGTCAAATGCCAGTTAATAGACTTTTTTGCCGTATGAGTATACGTTGCCCAGGGTGCACCACGTGGAGGTAAGTCTATCGCACACCGCTTTTTAAACATCGCAAGGATCATTGATTGGTGGTTGGCTGCCTAGTAGCATAGCAGCACGTTTGAGTCCGTCTGTGGAGTCATGGTATTTTAAAGTCAGAACTCAACTGCCGGTTAGTAGACTATTTTGCCGAATGAGTAAACGTTGTCTCCGTGAAGGTAAGTCTAACACACACCCCGTTTAGGGAATACTAAGGAATGAATATTGGCATTTTAGCCAAATATGGCGATTTAAAAATATGTGCCCTTGGTGAAAATTATTTGCATCTTTTTTGAACTAAGAAATGAGAAACGTCCTTCTAATTCGAACCAACTTTTTTACAGATATGTCGGGGCGTCTCGCACGTGCTTTTCCATTCTGTTTGACGATAATTCCGAGTGAATTTTTTTACCCTGAAGAAAAGCAGAATCATTGGAACAAAAAATTATTTTTAATAGAGGGGAAAATATGCGCTCAAACCCTTAAATTGGGTATGAGGCATTCCTCATAATAACCGAAACTCAAACTTCGAGTATTTATTTAGTGTGCACCCGATTTTCTAACAACTTTTCTTCCAGTCTTATTATAAATATTAGAAAATAGTATTCGATCTTATATGAGGTGAAGGCCCAAACTCCAACTTTTGGAGGAACTGGATGAGCAGGCGGTCGAAAGCTCATGAATGAAGAGTTAGTTATGAATAGATTTTGAGAATTGTCTGTCCTGAGGAAAAAAAAGCGGCAATTCCATGTGCGCGATTTTTTTGCCAAAATGCGACTGAAAATCCCATTGACAGCGTATTCAAAATAAATTCAAGGCCAAACCAAGATTTCCACGAAGTTTAAAGCATTGTTTGAGAATTTTTTAAACCAAACTCTATTTTGACATTTTTAAATGCAATGGTATCAACAGTAGTAATATCAGTTAACTTTAGGCAGAAGGTGTCGTGATTCCACTACCACTGAGATTGCTTACAGAAGAGATCTCCAAAGTGGTGATTCTTAAATTTAGACTTTGACACAGACGGGAAAACAGGTGACTCATAAGAACAACGATGAAATCCTTCTTAAAAAGAGGTTCTGATAGTTTTGGATCAGTATCACGTATCATGTATCTCATATCTTAGTCACAATGATGGCTTTACTTTGTGGGGGTTCACACTATCTACAAAATATCACATTTTATTTACTTCAACTAAGTTATGATGATTATGATAATGGTATGCAACGCACCAGCCAATGAATTCCACAAAATATCTCGGAATAAAATCAAAACTGTTAAGCTCAAAGTTACCATTCTGTTTAGTGTAATGAGTTCTCGAGCGCCTTTGTTTTCTGTAATTCTCCTGATCGAGAAGAAAGTTCGAATTGCGATGCCAAATTTTAATTATTTGAATATAGAGTAGTGACAAACTTTGTTAAAACTTCTAGAGTTCTAGCTTCTAAAGCTTCTCACTCTACAAGTCCTGGTGCTGATATCAAGTTGCATGCAATATTAGTGTAGGTGGGCAATCTACAAGTTGTAGAGAAATTCCAGATAAGTTTCGAAGCTCAGAATTACTAACGCTTCTTCTTCTTCCTCCAGTGGTCTATATATAACAATGATATCAGCTAGGTTCTCTCCAAGTGCATTAATTAAAGCAAGTAGAGGGGGGGGGGAGAAGGGGACTTGGATAACTTGAAGCAGTAGAATGTGTGAATAATGAAAGGACTCTGATATTTGGAGTCAAGGGGGGGGGGTAAACTCTAGGACTGCCCACGTTTTCAAACTACCACTGGAGGCGGATGAATTTATTACGATGGCTCTTTTTGAGACCTTGGCCGTTCCCCTATTTTCAGCACTTCTTCCACTACGTTGTCGTTGTTTCAAATGTCCACCCCCGGCCACCCCCCCCCCCCCCCCCCCCNGCCCCCCCCCCCCCCCTCCCTCCATAAAATGACTCTGGCATTCCGTGTGCCATTCAACAATCATTCAGAGGCTTTAGTGATTTAAAGGAGTCTATTTCAAGGCAAAATTCGTTTGTGAAGTATGTTACTTTTATTACTGTCATTATTGACGCAAGTGGAAAATGCCACGTTAAGAGTTACTTTGATAATGAGGGGAGGGGGGGAGGGAAAGATATTGAAACATTTTGACCAACCATTCATAGTCAATGGCCCTGGATACTGCATGCATGAATTCACGCAGTAACCAAGGTGATAAGAGCCTGTATTGCAAAATGTACTGGAATATTTGATCATGAAATAGTGAACCGACTGCATTGAAAACAATTGATTCGAACCCGAATTCTACTAGTGGAATTTAAGTCTCAGTCATCATTTACCTCTCTTCCTTTTAATTCACCTCCGATTTATTTCACTACTCCTCGTGTTGGAATGTTTCCCAAGGATTAGAAGTCGTAGTTATCTTTTATTTTCATGGCAAATAAGAGATAATAATAACATATATTTATTTAAAAAGTATGGATAATAGAATGGAATAAAATTTGAAGAATTGGGTGGGATTCGAGTTGACATGTCACATTGGATGCTGATTGACCACGAACAAATATTCGAGCTCATTTGCATTTCAGCTCTGTGATAGCGTCACTGCTTGATTAGTTAATTTTATTTACCATAGACCTCTTCAATTCATTCACCTTTTTGCGAGACCATTTATCTAACAGTAGCTGTGAATATCTCCTAATAATTGCAATTGTAATTGAATTTACAGGGCCCATCAGCTAATTCAAACAATGACCAAAAACTATCAGACAGCGTGAATGTAGACAACAATGAAAATACGAGAACGTGGAACTGAAACCTAACTCAAAACTCAAAAAGACCTAAGACTATTTTGACGTGCTGGCCAACAACTTCACTTATATTTGAAAACCTACCCTCCCCCCCACCCCTCCTACTACCTCCTATTACACTCGGTTCTATTTCAAGAGGAGTCAGTACAAGTTATGTATATATATGCATGAAACATATTCCTGCAATTCTGTTACCCAATAAAATCAAAATGAACATCGATATTAGCATATTATACATTATACATTATTGTACTTGAGGTTAAAATGCGCGTTCGTAATAAGAATAGGAGGAAGAAGGTGGAGGACATGGGGGGGGGGTCGATAAGTGTGTCTGTGGATACGTAGCTTTTTACTTGGGCATGCAACTTGGACTTCTTGTTTTGGCTTCTTGAGGACTGTGGTAGATGGAGATTGATAAGAGGACTTTGGGGGTGGGGTGGGGGGGGGGGAGGGATGGATGGATGGCAGAGATTATTTCAGGCGCCTATTACACATCACTACAAAAAGCTTCAAATTATAGGAAATAATGCATATTACATTTTGAGGTCAAAATGGACCCCTGGACCTTGTTGTTGATTATTTGGATTTTGACTTTGAGGTGATGATGAACCCCGAATGAGAGTCACTGGGGGCTGACGAGAGGGGCTACCCAACCACTCAATTCCTGACTCCCCAGATAAACCGAAGTGGTGTCGAATTTGAGAGCTGGGATATTGAGGCCCCATTACATTTGCTTCCTGACCTGACTGTGGGGGAGGAGGTGGAAGACCAAAATCGGTGGGAGGAGGGATAGTAGCTCCAAGATCACTAGACATTGTGAGGTCATTTGACGTGCCCACAGCGTTTATAGTATCCATATCTGTCACCTGCATAATGGGAGGTTGATTGCCCTAAACGAGGCACAAATAATTCATTAATTTCGAGCTGAAAACCATGCTACTAATACTATATAGTAGACTTACATCGGTGGCAAAGTTGACTACAGGGCGCTTGATAGTATTTCCAATGGTTGTGTTCTCCAGAGGATAATTGCGGTCAGGTGTGGCGAATGATGAATTTCTCCGAGGTACTTGACCAAAAGCTGGAAATAAATTTAGTGATGGAGTTAAGTTTCCTTTTTTAGTCATTATAATTTCATTTAATTCGAGGAAATAGACCTAGGTTCAGTTATTTCATTTTTCTCAGCAAAAAGAACAACAGTTGACTATGTTATTTAAAACTTGATAGAAAAGTTCATGAATTGAAAGTCATTCCAAAGAATTTGATTAATAAAATGGTTACTTAATATTACGAAACAGACGGCAAAAATTATCAAGTTTAAATTCAGATGGGATTTTTTGGGAGGGACATATTCGTTTCCCATCCAAATTCAAATATATAACGGCTTCTAAGAATTTTGTTTTAAACAAATATCATCTGACAAAGTAAGCTATTTGAATTTATAAAAAAATGGAGGAGGAATACACAATGGGAAGAAACATTTAGTTGGATTAGTTTTACTGCAAGGTTTCTCTATTATTACTGCTTCTCCCTGACAATTCCCAATGACAACCAATGAACTTTCCCATTGATAATAAATATTATTCCAAGTAAAGTCATTGGGTGGTTTATTATAAACAAAACGAAATATCCCAACATGTGATCGGCAACTGATTATACAGCACCGAAAGTATTTAAGTTGATTAAAGAGGAAAATTCTGTATATTCACTGAAATTTTCTGTAAAATAACCATTTTGAAGAAGTCAGGAGAAGTTTCCATGCAATTTGAACTGGAAGGGGTGCTTCCTGGAACGATTCTGATTTGAATTTAAAATTCTGGTGCCTTTCTTATTAACCACCATTAATTAAAGCAGTTGGTGGCGAATTCCACCTAACTTAGATCAACAGGAGGGCATGTTTTCGTGAATTAAATGTAAAGTACAGCTGAAAAGTATGACGCTGGTTTCTCAATGGAAGGATTCTAGAAGGAAAAAAAAGTCCTAAGATATCTGCTTTCAACGAATTTTGACTTATCTTATTACCCTCAACAAGATCGCTTTCTACTTCTCTTCAAAACTTTATACTGGTTAAGATGATCAAGCATGACTTAAAGCGTTATGCTAGTATTACAAATCAGTAAGGAATTTAGAATTAAAATCATATTTCACAATAATTAGCCTATTGGTAAATCAAATAAATACCCATATCTACTGACTGATAAGACTCTTCTGTTATACTGTAGTTTGTTGCTTACATATCCTCTACTGGTGTGACTACTATTCTTAATGTGCTTTTTCGTTATTTCCATCTTAAAATGAGTTTACAAATTATACTCACTAGTTTGTATGTGTGGTGCAAGAGTGTTACTAGCTCCAGGATTTAAATCATGTCTCTGAGGTGTATAGAAACTGGTTATCATTCGTGTTGACGCATGGTATCCCAGAGTATTTGCCCCTGTATAGACAACTCTTCCGCCACTGCTTGCATAGCTACCGCTTCCAGGTCCACCATTTCCAATTCCTCCCCTTCCATCAGATATTCCACCGATGGATTTATCAGTCAACGAGTGCGGTGAGACAGCTCCCGGTTGTAGACCTCCATAAAGTGACGCAGCTGCCAAGGGGTCATCCGCTATGTACCGATGGGGGTTGGGCGCCGCAACAAGGTATATCGATTGATCTGGTGGATAGACACCCCCTGACCCTCCGCCTCCACTAAAGCTGGGATGGCGTTGATGAGAATGCTCAAGGGATGATGGAGTGGCTGGTTGGATACCATGTGAACGAGATGAGTGAAGTGGAGAGCTTGAGCGCGATAATGTCTGAGGGTTCATTCTATGTTGCTGTTGTTGATGATGCATAGCCATTGCGTGTTGTTCGGGAGTAATAAGAGTTGGAGAATTAGTGAAGAGATTTAATGGGGATTCACGAGGGAAATAGGAGCCCGTAGAGGAGATGTATTCAGCTGGCATTTGAGGTGAACATTGGCCAAACTGTTATCACGAAAAAACATTCAATTAAAACGTCCAAAAACAAGTTCATTTATAAAAAGACGATGAAAGGAAAGGGGGGGGGGTAGACCTACGTGTTCAAATTGATATTGACTGAGACTATCCTTTTGACTAGCCGAGTCAATAAATGGTCCAAAAACATGTTGTCCATTGATAAATCGATCTGGATAGCAGTCAGCAATCGGGTAACCGTCCATAACACCACACTTGACTAAACCTACAGTAACGTAAAAAATAATGCGAATTGTATAACTTCCAGGTTTTAATTTACCCCCGCTTTATTAATATTTGCTAATTGTAAATTACGACAGGTAGGATGATGAAAATCTCGCAAAAAAAGGAGCGACATAACAGTATAATGGAAAACTTGACCCAAGCAGAGACCCAAAATAGCCGTCTGGCCAAGAATCGAAGCCATTGCTGAGTTTAGACTACGTACCAGACACGATTGCTTGTCAAAGCACCTTCACAAAATATGCCTATACACCCATCCAACATGTGCCCCTATTTGACCTACAGGAGGAAATGGAGAAGACCCACCTTATTCGGTATCCAGCTCAAAAGACAACGACGGAAATCCAGAGATTCGGGGAAGCCAGAAGACAACTAATGAACTGCTATATATGTTCCTTCCCTCCTCCCCACCCCCTAGTGAAAGCCTAAGTCAACTAGGGAGCTAATGATAAATTCCATAAGGCCTGCAATTTGAAATAATAACAATAATAATGATAATAATAATAATATTATACCAAAATAAGTTTCGTGGCTGTATAATGGAGATAGAAACTGCAGTTTGGGTACAAAAATAAAACCTATTGAAAAAATTTTTTCCCGTTATTTTCTTTCTTTCCATTTAATAAATAGTTACTTATTTATTTAGTTACTTTATTTATAGGCGATTGATTTTCAAACAGCTTCATTAGTAATGCAATAAGGAAGTATCCTAGTGAAATTGAGTTTCATCTGTCTCTCAAGAAACTGCAAAAACTATGAAAGCAAAAAAAAAACGCGCTTCGGTGCGAAATGTCGTTATGCGATCAAATGGTTCATTAAATCGGCACTACAGTTGCTCCTCCGCCCTTTAACTTTCATTGGACGTTCAAAGATGTTTTAAAAGCCATTCATATTGTATAAATACAACATTGTTCCATTCTTTAGGTCTTTTGCGTTGGATTAGGTAACTAGGAAAGGCAATTTCTAATAACCCCAATATGGTGGATGAAATTCTAAACACAAAATCAATGATACTAACGCTGAATTTATCTGTTCAAGCTAGAGGAGATTCGGGTTTCTAATTCCAATTTATGCAATTGCTAAAGTTGGTGCTACCTAACTAGAGTGGGAGAGAAATTCAACTCCCTTCATTGAAGTGAGTTGATCAGAGGCAAAAGAAGATGCCGTTTGCAAAAAAATTTGCCATCTAACCTCTATACCAAGAGTGCGCTCTACTTTTGCGGGCGGTGAAAAGTTTTAAATTAATTCTGTCAGTGGTAGGAATTAATTAGATGAAAAGTTGACTACCTCACGTCCAATATTTTGCCCGCACACCATTGTAACAATCAACAATGGGCAGAGAAGACGCTTATTCTTGTTCTAGTTGTGGTAAAAGAAGTAAATAATCAAATAAGAAATTATAATTATAACTATGAGCTTTCAAATATATCCACTACGAAAACTTGTAGAAAAGTCTCCTAAAGTCAATTAATAATTCTTAAATTCACGTTAAACCACAACATTTGGCGGTTACATTAGGAGTTTAAAAATAAATACGTAATTAAAACTAAAAATAACCTTCTTGAAAACAGGTAATGAGATTAAACAAATTTGATATGAGTTCGTATCTGAGGTTCAATAATAATAATAATAGTATTGATTCCAGGAGTTGTGGGATAGACTTACCTTCCATTGGGCAACGTATACTCATACGGCAAAAAAGCTTATAAACCGGCAGCTGACTTCTAACCTCAAACTACCATGACCCCACCGTATGTCATCTTCGACTACTTCCACAGTAATCTTCTTACCCTTTCTCTGCCTTTGTGTTTGGCTGTCTCTTTTACATCTGTGAATCATTATTCTGTCCCCCCTCTCGAATTTTTCCCACTTTGTTGTTCTCCCCCCCCCCCTCTGCTCTGGGAAGCCAGAAGTCAACTAACGGGTTAATGAAAACTAACAAAGCGCCTGCCATTTGAAATAAATTAATAAATAAATATTGATTCCAAAGACGTTGAGATAATAGTTTCCAAATACCCTTCTCTCGATAAAGGTTCATCATGGAGCCTGTCTACTGGAAGTCATAAATTCTGACGCTTGTCATCTTAGCCAGACTTAATTACTTCCGCCACTGGATTTGTAGCAACGAGATTTGTGTCTGTAACCTCTGGCCTCACCAAAAAAGAGCACAGTGCCCAATGTGCTATTGACGTATAAGCATCAATTCGTAAGCTTTCAAACTGCGCCAGACTTCTTCATTAAATTTTAAATATCCTTTTCTTGGAAGTGGACAAGAAGAAGCTTAAACTTGAAGAGGTACGATTCCCTTAGATTGTCTGGGATTCGTCGATTATCTTTATTCATATGCAGGTACATAACACTTCAGATAATCTGTTACAACCAGGCGATTTAATGAACTCCGAATTGGCGTTGAATCATATGTATTTAGCAATAGTCAAACTTTAATTACTGAAATATTCACAAGAAGTTCATCACTCACTTCCCATTTCCACTCGTTCTTTCTCTTCCTCTATCGTGGTCCTCTATCTTGAGTGGAACCTAAATTTCAGTGCATTAGAACAGTGTAATGGAGTATTGCTTTACAAAGCATCGACGTGAACTTGTGCTCTTATGATGAATCATCACCACCTAGGGACTCGAACAATTGGTTTCTAAACTTGATACGCTATTTGAACCTTTAAACCTCTGGAGGTCCTTATAAAGAATTGTTTTCAACTAAAATTTAGCTGGAATTCTCTTCTTTGCGTTTAAATTGTCGATAACTTATCGTACCAAATTTTTTGGGAAAGTTGTTTACTTAATCGAAAAATGCCGTAATTTGTGCATAAAATTTAAGTAAAGTTTTGCAAAGTCTCCTTACACAAATATTCTTGCCTCCACAAATGTTCACCATATTGTAAGAATTAAAATTCCACTAGGCTTTGCCGATCTCATGACTTTTCTGCAAATGAAAAACTTAAATACCAGCAGAAAAAAATTACTCTAATTCTCTATCATTTTGCCCATTGAAAAGATCAGGCAACTTGACAGTTCAAAATCGTGAAAACAAAGGGTTCGGGGAATCGGTGACCAGATAAGCAGGAACTCCAATGAATAGCTCTCGTGGATTGATCCAGTTGATAATATTAAGTGGACCAATGAAATTTTCGTGCGCATTATTGAGAGAGGAAGATATATATATATATATATATATATATATATATATATATCGATGTCTCCTTGCGTGAGAGAAGTATTAAAAAGGGAGGTGTGATAAAATCACTAAGTGGGAGAAAGGCGAATAATAATTCCATAAAAGACCCCTTCATTTTTCCCCATCCATGATACGAGTGAGAGGGAGAGTGGGGAAGGCGGAGGACAGGGGAGGGGGGGGGGGAATAGGGTTCTGATTGTATCTTAAAAAGCCACCAAATCATCTATCTCAACGTTTTGACTTTCCATGAGGTACTTTAGCAAAATATATATTGAGAAATGAAGAGAGGGAACATACGAGTAGTGGTAATAAATTTATAAAAACTTACTATCAGTTCCAGGAATCCTCTTTAGTCCAGAATTCTTTTTTTGATGACGACGATGTAGCACCAGTCCCACAATGATGAGATTTGTGATGAAAATGAGACATCCGAAGCATGTTGCGATAGTGATAATCATCGAGACACTGGGAGATGAGGTATTAGTTCCATCTTCACCTATGTACCCTGGATTTTCATTTAAAGGCGAACGGTTTCCTCCACTCGTCACAGATCCTGAAGATCCTGAATGGGCCTCGTCTCGCATAGCTTCTTCAATCGGATCAGCAGCAGCTGAATAAATGCGTTATTAATATTTGACATAAACGAACTCGCTATTGTAGTCAAGTTCAATATAGGTTAATTGAGACTCGGTTAACATAGATAGGGATTACTCACTTTAATAAAAGGGCAAATATCAAACCTCCGTGTTGAGGAGAATCGTGAACACTCATGCTATCTTGAATACCTGCTAGGTTTTCAAGAGCAGAGTGTGGTCTCATATTACTCACAAATTATAGAATTAGCATGCCGCTGAGAACAAACGAGGAATGCGATAATTAATTCCATTCCATTGAATATAAACTCGTGTTTATTAGCGAACATGCAGCACCATATGCGTTATCTATTTACTTCATCAAATAACAAACCAAAATAAAATATCTTTACCATTCGTGCCGAATGAGGTATATATAATAACATGGTTAGAGTAAACCATTGCCTTTATTAAAAACGAAGAGTTCACATAACGAAAACTCAATTAAAATTAACTAAGTTTTTTCTCCCATAGATGAGGTAAATATTAAAGAGATTTGGAAGAGAACTAACTTTTCAAGTTGATTTCCCACGGGTAGATTAATCTGGTGCCTACTTTCCCATTCGAACAAATTTCCCGCAAAGAAAGAGTTTAAATAACAATAAAATCGATAGAACTCTTGTATCACGAAACACTGAGAGAAAAGTGTAGCACACTAGCATTCGACATTACAAATTTCTCATAACTAATGAGCGGTGAGCCGACACAAACCGTTCGTTCGGGCATCAAATCAATCTAGCTGAAAAAGTTGGCCCACCTTCGAAGCTCCACATAGCTTCTTATCAAGCATTCAATGATGTATAATATATATATATATATATATATATATATATACTTAAGGGCTTAATAAATTTAATTTTTCTAATCAAAATATTAATTTATTACGGGATAACTCGGCCTTTCTTTCCGCAACATGTTAACAAAATTAAAACGATATATAAATTGGCTTTTATATCTGCTACAGAGGAATTTCGAAAAAAATTTAATATTTCATCTTCTAAGTATTTAACTGGCAGATTTATGCACACCGTTTTTGTCTATGCCAATCATGCTAAAGTATTTAGTGAAAACCAACTTTACACAACCAACTTTTCATATGAGCCAAAAAAGGTGTTTCACATTAAAACAAACAGTTTAGCCAGTAGTAATGCGGAGTTACTCATTCATAATAGAGGCAGTCGGTTTATCCATTTGTTATAAATAAATATCTGTGCCCAACTATTTGTCTCTGTTTGAGCGTCCACTAATGTTAATAATAATAAATATGTTCGTTTCTTATAAATTTGAAAAGGCAAGTTTGAAACATCAGAGTGGGAGGAAATCTTGCTACACCGATTGAAAACCCCTCGCCAATGAGAGTCATTGATTTTCACAGACAAAGCAGCACGCATAGAACCACAAATAACTAGTTCTTAATATTAAAAAGCACTCTATCTTTTACCCAAATTACACCAATCTTGGCAAGTTGACTAAACGAATTTTAATTAGTTAGCCAACACCTCTAATCAGAGCTAATTTGTTTTGCCATGATACAAAATCACTTTCGTTCCTTTGGAATTGAATTCGGGAAAGGAGTAACACGTTAATAGCACGGAAATAGTAAAGAGAATATTGCAATAACGGTGAAACTAAAGCCAAGAGCATTGGAATTTTATTTTCCCATTGGGGGGAAAAGGTGACAAGTGACGGTGACTCACACACTCACACACTTGTATGCACCCTATCACATGGACCGGGTTTGGCGAAGTCAGGGAAAATGGGCAAAAAATAAATATATGCGCATTGGACGACACACACATCTCATGAATGTCACAACCTGTAGGGTGTGATGCTTTTTCCACTTCTAAATGTTTCGACACCTTTTTACTCAATGATGCGGAAAAAATGGCGGGTTGTCAACGACGCTGTGACTAGACTAACATGGCGGTGTAACTTCAGTAGCTGGGAGGGTACAGCAGCTACGAAAGGATCCAAAATTAGAACACAGAGAGAGCTATGCTGGCTGGAGTGCATTTGATGGACCTCGATGAGGATTCGAGAGAGGAAGAGAGATGGAAACCAAGGGGTATGAGAGGAAAGCGTAGTCACCAATAAGTTACAAGCTTGCATCTGTATGTATAACTGTGTACTTATATGGAGGGTTATGCATGGTTTCATGGACGAGAAGTGGCAGAAACGTGTGGATTGACTCTGAACAACTCGACTGTGAAACCGAACCCCAGTGAGCTCAATTAAGTACCATCTGCTAATTAGCATAAACTAATTGAGGATACGCTATACATCTCAACGAAGTACTTTAGGCCACTGCAGGATTAAACATCACTTTGAGGTAGAGGAAAGTAAGCATAATGGATTAATGAATAACAAGCCGAAAAATTTTAGAAATTTACACATCTTCGTCTTTCAGAAACATCGCCGTATCATTTCATAATTTTCATCGGCATCTCCTTTTGGATTTACATCCATCCGAAATTTCCTTTTATATATTAGGTTAATTAGGCTTAGAACATTTGAGCTGCACTTTATTAATTAGATGCATATTGGAATGGCTTCATGAAGTTAATAACCAATAAAAAGTCACGAATTTGACTAATAGCCAAGATATTTTGATAATTTTTAAATACTACCTGGTGAATTTTAATTGGTCGGAGGTTTTGAGTATTGTGCTCGGACAGAGCACTTCCAGTACTTGTATTACTCCCATGTGAAAGTACTTTAATCAAGTACCTCACTCATGGGGACTTATTGCAATGGGCAGTATTATCAAGGCTTTATTACAATTCATAGTGGTAGTCACTAAAGTTCCCATCAGAAAGTATAGTTTATATGTGCCCATAACTATTCCTTAAGTAGCGACACTACTGAAATTAATGCATTCAAAGGAGTAATTAAAAAAATGTTAACACCTATCAGCCTTTAATAATGAATTAGAGGCAAATGCCTGACAGAAGTGAGAAAGAAGATTTCAAATTGCAATCACCAGTCTTTTAATTTTAATCCGTTAATATAAACAGAAAAGGAGATTTGCTGTAGCTCTGAATGTTGGTTTTAGAATAACTATCGCCATCGAAAATACTTGTTATGAACAAAAATGGACAATATGGAAGGTATGATAGGCCGTTGTTAATTTATATAACTTTGCTCGTAGTTAATCAATAAAATAGTGGAGTATGTTAGCTCTCTGTCACAACGCCTTTCATTGTTGTAAAGTTGGAGGCAGTTGAAAGGAATGTCATTTTCAATTTTATCTGAATTAACTATTTCCCAATTCATTTGACTCTTATTTTTTAGCATATACAAATTAGTCCATTGGAAAAGCATTGAGCAGCCATTTAATTTTTTTATGAATACATAATCTCGTCAAAATGAAAACACAGCTCAAATGACACAAGCTTCAGGTTCTGTTTATCAAAAATTACACTTTCCACTTTGACAGGAACAACTAATCCAGAGTGGCGGAACGGTTCACACACACGCACACAAGCACGTTGTCCCCGGAAGTCAGGTGTATTTTTTTGCAAAATTAAATTGAAAATTAAAACAAATTTCAAGTTGAATCAACTCACCTGCTGTAGATGCAATCAGATAATCGGTGAAAGGGGAAGGCTTGTGAAGGGAGTTCTTTGCACCAACGCAAATTCGATATCTTGTGACCTTTGGTAGATCTAAAAATATGACAACCGGAAATCAGTTTCCGTTGATTAGAAAAAGCCTCCTTGCATCAGCAATAGGTTTTTCCAACGATTATCCATGATAATGGCACAATGGACTAATTTAAAGTCAGGTAAATCTTTGTAAACTCAAAATAAATTTCACATTTAGCTTAATCAAGTCATAAAACCGATTTCGTACAGGATCATAAACCTTTTCTCATTTCAGAATTCATTTTGCATTATATTGAGTTAACCATTTTTTGATATGAGTCATGCTTTTTGTTCCATCTCCGGATGACTAATTTCAACGGAATATTTTAAGACGAAGGTGCCACCACTATCCACCCTCCCCCTCCATTTTACTCCTATCCATCCCTCATCATAGCAAAAAATTGGAGCTGGTTTTTGAAATGTGGAATTAAGAAAACGCAAACAGGTCGTGTCTCTACTTCGGAAAACTGGTATCAATTTCGATTTTTCAGATAACTGCTATTAAAATAACTTCCGCCTAAAGTAAACATACTTGAAAACCACCTATAAGGAATATCTTTAAGGTACATATTAGAGGTTCAGTATCTTGTTCCTTTGTTAAAAGTTTTGATATTTTTCCATAGAAATATATATATATATACATTGCGACTATTCACAGTCTTCCCCCCTCCCCCCCAACCCCACCTTAAGCTCTACGTGGATTGTGCTCCAGTTTCGTCTGAAATCAATGGTACTTCAAGCTAAATGGGAAGAAGATTTAAGTAACCGCAATTTCCTTTTAAGTTGAGATGATGCTTCTGTTTGAATACTCATACACACACACACATCAAATGTAGTCTAATTCTCACACATTGTACTGGTGAACTCGATGCGATAGGAAGCAGACAACGCATGGGTTAAACAGGTGTTTCGTGGTCTAAATAAGGGAAAATTAACCATAAAAATCTCATCATAAAAGGTGCGAATTAGTAACGCCACAGCTTTTGCCGTAAAATGATCATAGTCTCAAGGGTGTTGCACAAAAAATGCTCTATTTTGTTTAATGAGGTTAAAATTGGTTGGCTTTATTTCAAAGGGTTGGTTTCTTGCGAATCGCAAGTGTCAATAGGGAATTGAAGGTAAAGAAGTAAGGCACTTTATTAGGCAAAGTCACCTTCTGGTTGGCTACTCAGCTAGATTTTACCTTGAGTGAACACTGGTGTACATTGTTAAATTGAAAAATCACCCCATATCTCCACTTATTTCCTCCTAGCCAACCAAACAGCAAAATCAACCAGTCATCACACTCTTAATGCCACGAAGCTAATTTCCACCCATAAATTTAGGCGTCACTTCGAGAAATTTAGAAACACAGCAAGCCACGAGAAACCAGACGCTTCCATAATTCAAACAAGGTAAGGCTTTGTGTTATCACCCTTTCTGAAAGTGACTGTTCCAAAATGTAATTTCTAAAGAAAGAGAAAAAATTGGGGGGGGGGGGAGAGGTGGAACAATTTTACCTTTCCAGACCCCGTTTCATGATATTTTATTTTCTCGTAAATTGGACGAAATTTATATCCCGCTTAGAGTTATTTTTTAGCGTAACAATTTAAAAAAAACTTCTATATGAACCTCCGCCAAAATATTTGTAGCAAAATTATAGGAGTGTCCACTACCCGCCCCCCGCCCCCCTCCCCCACCTCAATAAAATACTCTCGAAGCACCGTTTTTGGACTTGAAATTGTTGTCGCTGTAGATGGTCAGGTCAAATTAATTAGGCGAAAAATTGGTCAACCATTCGAATGACAAATGCAAATCCTATCAAAGTATTAGGGCATGGAAACTGAACTTTAACTGACGAAACACTCCCCCCCCCCCCCCCCGGTTATGTTAGGTATGATATGTTCCAAGGTACTCGAGGATAAAAAATTCTTAATATCCTTCTTCTTAATGTTCTTAAACATTACCTTGCGCCTTATGTTGTTCAGTCGAATATGTATGCCGCTATTCTCAACAGCCTGTCCTTGAAATCACAAGGAGGGCAACGCCTTAAACTTATCAATACTTCAAGCAATTCTGCATTATAAAGTCGATCCTATTTAGATTAAATTAATATCCACAAAAATAGTTCCGTACTTTATTTCATCATACTTACTTTCAATAGTATACTTGGTGACCTCTGATAATGGATCTTCCTTGACTTCTGCTGTTTGAACCGCATCTGGAGCGTCATCGGGAGCCCACTTCACCTAGAAAGTGGCAAAAGTTGACACGACTTTAATATTAAATTTGCTGCTAAGTGCTAACAATCTCAACAATCACAAAAACTTCAATTTCGGGGAGTTTATGGCAAGTAAGAGCATATATATATCCCCTTACTTCTTTTAAAATATGCCATTGTTTGGTTTCTAAAATCTCGAGCACAATTTTGAACAATGCTTGCAGTGTGCGGCTTTAATTAACTTTGATATAGAGCTAGTTAGATGCAAAGAAAATATATTGCTGTTTCCTCCAAGTCAAAAAGTGGGCTAAAGAATGCGGTTAAGAATAGAGCAGTGATTGGTTTCGTCAGAAATGAAGGAGGCGCATCAATTCAGTGAAAACGGTCACAAATTTTCTGCAATTGCGCTAAAAATTCCTCAAAGCTAGCAAATTAGTCGTGCAATTTGCATTTAGCTGAAGGATCATACACCAAGGTTATCTAATTTTGAATGATATTTTCACTTATTTATTGTGTTTTAATAGTTTTTAATTGGCTATTACAAAAAGAACATTATATATGGCACTGCTTAAATAATTACCATCAGAGGTGATAAAAGGGGAGGCCCCAATTTACCCCCGCCCCTCTCCCGGGCTATTCATCAGGACACACTCAAAGAGTTTTGAAAGCGAATAGAGAAATCTGATTTTAATGCATCATTCAAATATTTGCGCAAGAAAATTTTCTACTTATCTTGAGTGTAGGCTAGTTAGCACTTTTATGCTAATATACCTTATCCAGTCTCGATTGCACATTCACCGCTATTGCCATAATCAACTTTAATAAACATGTTTCACGAAAGTAAACTCAGTAATTTCATTGCCAAAATCACTTAACCTATAAAAAGAATTCTCACTGACCTAGTTAAACCTCCCAGAATTTACGATCCTACCGAGTCATTGAATTGGGAATTTGTCATCATCCACCTGCTGTTCATGTCCGTGTTAAGATAAAGCTAATTGTTCATTTGGCATGAATTTAAACAATCAATTAAACTAATAAAACGCCTTTAAAATGTTGAATTTTAAAAGACTTTAACCTATAAACAATGCATTAAAATTAGGTCGCATTTATGAGCTCAATGATTGCCTCTAAGGGTTAAATACAGACAATGAAATAATGATATTTAATAAATTTAGATCCGGTATAAGCTGAATATTTAATTCTTTAACGCCCTTGGGACCATACGAGCCTCTTTGAAAATAAGCTCCATTTGGTATTAGACTCGCAGCAGAAGGAACTTTCGTAGGTTGAAACATGTTTAATACGCGGGGTGTGCGATAGACTTACCCCCCACGTGGCGCCACCTGGGCAACGTATACTCATACGGCAAAAAAGTCTATTAACCGTCAGTCGACTGTACGTCATATTCGATCCCTTCTACAGTACTCACCTAATCTCTTTCCTCTTCCTCTGTGTTTGTCTCTTTTACGATTTTGAAACACTCTTCTGTTCCCTCCCCCCCTCTTGACTTTTTCACTTTGATGTTACTTCCCCTCTGTGAAGCCTGAAGTCAAGTGAAGGACTAATGAAAACTATCAAAACGCCTACCATTTAATATAAAATATAATAAATATATGTTTAATACGCGTCTATGTAGCCTTCGCCAGATATCACCGAGACTCATCACATCAGCGGCATCAGTCTGCTGTGAGGCTCGAGTGAGTGTGGATTGGGTGCATTTTTAAAAAAAATAACTCGGGCGTTGAAGGGTTAAATTGAGATATGTTTGGCAATTATCCTTTTATAAAGATCAACTGTTCTGAAAAGATAGTGATTCAATCGGCATCACTGTTCAGTCTCTTCAGCTCACGCAACCCACAAATAAAAAAAACTACATCCACAATGACGGACATCAAAAGTAATTTTAGCTCATCTTTCTTGAAAAGTGAAATTGAAGTTCTAAACTAATAAAGATGCACGAAACAAAAGTTAATCTTTAAAGTGGTCTAATTTAGAGGAAAGAATTTGACACTTTTCAATCTTACATTTACCCACTGAACGAAGTATTTAAAGCATGCATCTTTCATTCTTGAATCGGGATCTGTTCTATTCCCATTAGCATGTTCAAAAATACTCATAAACTCGAAAACGTACAGCACGGAAAGCTAGAGTTCCTGCTGAATTCTAGGATAATCCAATATCGCTAGGACAAATTTTTTCTTGAGAAAAAGTTGCATTTTCTTTAGTTTCTATTTCATATTAGGTGGTAGTCACCGGGAACTATGCGACCGATTGTCCCAGTCTTTTCCCTGTTGTAAACAATTTAAAGTCATAAATCTTTATTACATTGGGGAAGACTGATACTAATACACACACACACACACACACGGTTTGTTTATACTTGCGCATTGTTAGTGAATGCATGGGAACCAACCGATTGGCCGCTTTTATAAACCGAGTTCTATTGGAATAACCCCCCACCCCAACCCCCCCCCTCCCCACCTTACTAAAAAAAGGTGCATTTCTTGTGGCTTTTGTTAGTTGGAATAGAGCGCCAACACTAAAAGTGTCCCTCTTATTCCCAACCTAAGGTTTCCCCACATTCATCATTGCAACGACAGATAAGCCGAATGAAGGAATTGTCATTGGACACATTGTTTATACTTTCTAATCGATTAAGGAGGGAGTCGAGGGTCGTCAATAGCTTGTCCAAATGCCATGGGTGAATTTCATCACTAATCCGTCAGAAATAAACTTGACGTTTTAAAGAACTCGCGCTGTCCTCCACAGAAATTAGCTAAGTAAGTCTTTTGACAAGGCATGACTCAACTAGGTTAATTTTCGTCCTACGCAATATCCCATGTCCGAAAACTAAACCTCTCCGGCCTTAGATCCGTCTACGAGACGCACATATCGTCATTGTTTATTTTTAAACAAGAACTACACCGTTCTAGTGCCTAAGTTAAACAGCATTTTGAAGTGTTTGATATTTCCTCATAAATAATTCAAGGTTTTATTTATACGGATTTAGTTTGTACAGTGGGAGAATTGGCAATGTAAATTTCAATGGAAGGTACTCCAAAACATGGCTTTATCAAGTGGTCATTGTGCTTATTAACCGCATTTCCCAAAACTATATGGTAAACAATCAGATTGTTACTATAACATTGGGGTAACTTCCGATATCAAGTAGCTTGGATTTTAGATGGGATAAATGCATTGTGAGGACTCAACTTGGTCAGTAATACTAACAATGTATTCGCGACCAAATTAGAACTTACCCTTTACCCGAAAATTAGACTTACGATGAAAGTTTGCGGTGGACCTCCATTGAATGCCTGTCGCCAACCAACCGTGAGAGAGGATGAGGTAGATTTCACCAATACTGGATTTCCAGGTCGTCCTGGTGACGTCGTCGGCCCCAGCACCACCTTTCCAACATCCATTCCCATACCGTTCTTTGCCTAAAATGTCCAATGGATGCGTATGGGATTATTGTGGCCTCAAGATAAAACACGAGGTTTAGGTAGAAAAATTGGACAAATTAGTTAGGGATTTACAGTTTAATTCACAGCGTGTGCAAGGAAAATAACTTATTGATTGATGGTGAATCCCATTTGATTCATAAAGCATCCAATGTGACTACCGGTGAGCTCTGTTAACAGAGCAGGGTTTCATAAAATTCAATTCCTGAATGATTTCTTTATTGTTTGCATAGAGAACGATAAAACTCATAGATATCTTTCAAATACACGACCAACATATTATCATATGAGAATGATGCACCTGCAATCTCAAAGGTATGATTCATGGCACTCATTGTCAAAGCTATTCGAACACAATTTAGTAGGAAGTTTGATAGATTTTTCAGTCTAGCATTTTATCTTACTTAGTGTCGTAAAGAGGGGAGGAAAAGATTGCATTTTTATGTCAAACAGCATCAAACAGCGCGAGGAAAGCAATGCTCTTTTACACATCAAGTATAAAATTGTTGAGGCAGAAAAAGCCCTAGTATGTGTGTGTGTGTGTGTGTGTGTGAAAGAGAGTGTGTGATCAATTTTGGCTGATAAGTGTGGCAAGGCGCCTTGAGTACAGGTACCAAATGGAGCAAAGATCATTAAACCCTCACCTACTACTAAACAGACACACAAAAAATTTCACATATACCAGTATCAGCACGTGTGCTGGGGGGGGGAGGGGATGGGGGGTGTGAGAGAGTGGGCTCAACTCTGAAGTAGCGATAATTTTTGCCAGAGAGCAGTGGCATTTCCTATGCATGAGTTGATCGCGCAGATGGTCAAGCCGAGTTTTTTGTAACTCTCAGCCTTGTTTTGGAAAAAAATAGCGTTGCCTGGAGATTTAAAAGACCCTCTGTGATATTTTGAAATCGAATCGATGGGCAAACTTTAAATAAATTTTACAAAGTAAGTAAAGAACTAAATCTCCATGTTTTGGGATTGGTTATACACTTCTATTCAAGTTGCATTATATTCCGTAATTTTCGTCTTCATTTTGGGTTTAATTTATGATTAAGTATTCACTCCTATTAAGTTCAACTATTGAATAATCTATAGCCTTAACGAGAAGAACGAAACGATGCCTCAAAAAATTTAAATAAAAATAATGTCCTTAGTCCGATACTACTTGTCTTTTTTTAAAAAAATTGTCTACTTTCGAACTAACTTTCGTTGACTCATGGTCAGTGCTTTGGGTAGTGAAGCAATTTTAAGTACTGCTTCAAAAAGTACTATTTTTTCAATCGTACAATCCAACGCTAAAAAGAGATGATCAATGCAAAACAAATTCAGACATCTAACTGTGGAGCATTAATACGAAGTTTGGAGACTAGTTGTTCGACCATATTAGATGTTTAAAGGCCAAAAAGGAACACTTCATACATTTTAAGAACTTCTAAGCGTATCGTAAAGTTACAAATTCTCCATCAGAATCCCGAATGCATTGAGGTTTTATTGAGGAATACCATCGCATATTGTGAATTTCATGCAAAATATTTTCTGCTATTATAAATAAATAAATGATATGTAATAAATTTGTCATTTGTTTTAATGTGAAATAGGGTGTCACTTCATAAATTCGGTAATTCGTAGACTTAAGAGGGTTGTACTAAAGGGTTAAGCACTCCGTCATAGTAGATGAATGGCCTTGAATTTCGTCAGAAATATAAGTTTACATTCTAAGTAGAGCCAATTAGAATCTGGCTTTGCATTCTCTACACAACCTAGATTACTTGTCTGCTCCAGAGAATTGTGCGCATGAAAACACTATCCAATGTGATCCAGACGTATAGACGTTCCTGGTCCAATGGTGGTCGATAAAATTAGGCGATCTGCATTATAAAACTACTTCTACTATTTTATAAGTCTAACACAAAGAACAGCCATAATGGCCTCTCGGAGATAAATGATTTTGACGAAAGCATGTTAATATATTACCTGACAGTAGTAGCTTCCGTAGTCGACCTGTTTCACGAACTCGATAGTAAGCAATGCACGATATCGTCCAGCATGAAGACGTGTGACAGACGATTTGAATTGTCCTCCCTCCACAAGAGTGAGATTTGCGGGATCCCGGAACCAAGTTACGGTGGGAATAGGTTCCGCGGCGATGATACAAACCACAGTAGTTGGAGGTATTGAAGCTGAAGGAGATAACAGATGATGCGATCGATTTGAGAATCCCATCTCCGACGGATCGTATGGGGGTGCAGCTCTCATCCATCTTGGTATTTCCAGAATTTTCGGAGCAACTACAAAAAAAAACAAATTTCATATTGTCAATAATCTTTGTCAATCCCACCTCCTCACAGCCCACAGTTCCTACTTAAATCCAACCAAATTTAGAGTTATTTGCTCGCGCATAAAACACAGAATTAGGTCTTAAACAAGTCACGCTAAATAGCCCGGATGTATGTACAAACTTTTTCCCATCTATCAAGGCGGAAAAATCAGGAGTAGAAAGAAGAAACAATCTCAGGCAAGGTTAGATGGATTGCCATCATCAGTTCATCTTCTCTTATTTAAAATTGAAATCGGCGCCCTACGGAGTACATGCTTCCGGATACTTCTCATGCAGGAAGACATTTTTTCATAAGGAAAGCACAATTTTAATATTTCTAATAAAACATCTTGTCGATTGAGCTATCTTCCAAAGGTAAATTCAACATTAAATTGGAGAGCCAAATACTCACATGGATAAATAAGGTCAATCAGTCGAACCACAGGAGAGCCGATTCCATTGTCGACAAAGCATTCATATCGACCAACATCGCTTGGATCGACATCAGTTATGTAGAGCGTACTCACAAGATGGTATGGTTCTGGAGTAAAGCATTTCACGTAGTACTTTGCTCTTCTACTCACGAATTCCTGAAATGTGATACGTCTATCAGTTTCCTCCTTGAGTTTAAGTTAAGTTAATTAAAGGATAAAATAAGCGTACCTGATTGCATCTAAGACCAGTAATTGATGTTTTTTCAGTACGCTTGAGATCTGATGCTGAACCATCAGCCTCTCCAGCGATAATAGAAGCAGTAACCTCAGTCAAAGGTGTGTCATCGGTCACTCGACGCCAATAGACAGAACTGGCTTTAGGTGGAGGATTGGCTTTCACTCGACACACTAATTCCGCTTCCTTGCCTTTAGTGGTTGAATTGACCAGAGGTTCTCCAATCAATCTTGGTGCATCTAAATAAAATGAACAAATTCAGCATTTGCGTTCTAATGGGGCCATAAGAGGGTGATATCAGTGACTATGTCTTCAGTACTGATGTACCCTCGAGACTCGCAATGATGATCCACTTTTAGTGATAGCAATACTCAATTACGGTATCTTTAGTTCCTCGTAGGTCGGTTTTCGGGAGCTTTTGGAACGAAAAGTAGTCTTTAAAAGCCGAACGGACTGTTAATCAAAAGTAGATTTTAAATTCAACCTATAATCCTTATCCAGTTACAATGCATTCCATCCCTCCCACGTTGGTTTTTGATTTTGCTGCATGTTTTACGGTTCCCATGAAACTTGGAGATAAGTAAATGTTATGGCAAATGGAATATGACGAAAATTCAATAACAGTTAACTTTAATATCCGTTAAGTCAGTTAGAGAAACGAATTCCTGTAAAATTGTACCTAATTCTCCCAATCTGAAATAATAATTTCAAGCATATTCTTCAACATTTAACGAAACTCGACACTTGCAATATTTACAGGCGTGTTAATAGTCATATGTTGAGGGAAGGAGGTTGAATAGTAAGGAATGTGTTGGGGGCAAAATGCATTTACTAAAATAATGTGGTTTCGCTAATATTGAAACCTCTAAACTGCGTTTTTAAGAGCGAAAAACAGTTCATATTTACCTCCATTATCCAAAGAGTATACTTTTGTTCCGACTTGGCCCACTAATTTGCACTAATTCAGGAATGCTTAATGAAACAGTTTGTAATTCAATTTCATCAAAAAATTGCAAAAAAATTTTGACTAATTTTCTGGTCAATCTGCCCAGTTTAGTAAGTAGATATTTCCGAAAACGCCCATCCGTGTAGGGTTGAAATTTGAGGGGAGAGCCAAGTGGGTGTGCGATAGACTTACCTCCACGTGGTGCACCCTGGAAATATGCCTTCACTATCAACATCTTATTTGGAAGCGGAGGGGTGTGTGCGATAGACTTACCTCCACGTGGTGCACCCTGGACAGCGTGCGATAGACTTACCTCCACGTGGTGCACCCTGGGCAACTTTCAACCCTTGCTGGTTTTCTAAACAATTATTCTTAAGAATACGATAGACTTACCTCCACGTGGTGCACCCTGGACAACGTACTTTCAAATGGCAGGCGTTATGATAGGTATCATGGGGTGTGCAATAGACTTATAAACTTACCTCCACGTGGTGCAGCCTGGGCAACGTATACCCCTCCACGTGGTGCACCCTGGCCAACGTATAATCATACGGTCTTACCTCCACGTGGCGCACCCTGGGCAATGTATACTACACCTTACCTCCACGTGGTGCACCCTGGGCAACGTATTCTCATTCGGCTACCTCCACGTGGTGCACCCTGGGCAATGTATACTCATACACCTCCACGTGGTGCACCCTGGGCAACGTATACTCACGATAGACTTACCTCCAGGTGGTGCACCCTGGACAACGTATACTCAAATGACATACCTCCACGTGGTGCACCCTGGGCAACGTATACTCATGTGACAAAAAAGTCTATAAACCGGCAGTTGACTTCTGAGTTCAAGCTATAAAAAAGTCTATTAACCGGCAATTGACTTCTGACTTCAAACTATCATCACCCCACAGTATGTCATACTGGACTACTTCCACAGTACTCACCTCAAATTTTTTCTCTGCCATTGTATTTGTCTCGCTTACATCTTTGAAACACTCTTCTGCTCACTTTGATGTACCTTCCACCCC